AAGCCAAAATATACAGTACCCTCTGGTAAACTAACATAGCTATGGAAAATCACCATGTTTCATGGGAAAATCAACTATTTCAATGGTCGTTTTCAATAGCTATTTTGACATAACCAGAGGGTAAGGTATTCAAAGTACACATTCCATCACATTCCCATAACTTTGATTCCCCGTTTCTGGGCAAAATTGTCACTTCACATCGACTGAATATTTTTCTTTGGGAATTGAAACGTCAATCTATATTATATGATTGGAAATGATGTTTCCAGCGACCGAACTAAACCTCCATTTAGTTCGGGGATTGTCCAAGTGCAACATTTGATTACCAGGGGGCAAATCCATTGATATCCTACTACTGTATAATTATCCCATATCAAACATTAAAAAAACATATTTGTCATTCACCACAAAAAAAAAAAACATCATCTGATCTTATCGAAGTTCATCACCAGAGGCTTACCCATAGGCTCCATGTATGGTATATTTACCTACATTTGGGTGATTTTGTTCAGGCAAGTGTTGGTACAGTAAATATTCCATACATGGAGCATATGTCTCAGCAAATCCCAAGAAACAGTGGCATCAGGAGAATCCTCCTGCGACCCTCACTGCTTTGGATCTTGTTCCCAGGCACTTGACCACCGCCAATCCTTTGTCTAAGAGCCACCGCTTAAGAATTGGGAATAAAAATCCATGGTCTAAAAACAGTCAATAATAATGAGATATAGTAGGAAATTCATGGGAGCAAATGAATCAGGGAATATCATGGGATAGAAAGAAATATATCTATGTACATAAATATATGTGTGCACGGTATGCCGATATGCCCCCGTTCGATAGCGAAGTTGGTTAACACGACTCTAGTTTCAGTAGGACTTGTGGTAGATATATCGAACTAGTTAATAGGGTTATAAAATGTTATAAACCAATAAACATAACTGGGGGCCGGGGAGGGCACTACATAGTATATATATATATATAACTATATATTACAAATATATATAACTACATTTTATCATATCATTGGATATCTGTCTATCTATCTAAGTGTCTGTAACTAGGATGAATCCATGCGGTACTGTATCAGACTGCTTCGTCGCTTCGTCTACTTCCTGGCATGCTACCAGTTACCAGATAGTAACCATCATCTTCAGACAAATTAAGTAAAAGCATTGCTTTACAAAGAGGTGGATGTTTACCTAGACCCCCCAGCATCCCAAAAGCAGTGGACCTTGGTTTTCAACCTTGCATCTCTTGGTCGAACAACTATTTGCCCGTTCTATGATGAGGTGTTTTCCAAAATTGCAACTAAGAGAAACTGATTAGAATCCATTGACATTCTCCCAATATGATCCGTTTTTCAGACACCAGTACTCGAACATGGATATGGAAAATCCACCATTGAGTTCAATGCTTTTCCCATTCAAACCATCATTTAGTTATATGGCAGTGTGTCAAAACCTTGTACCCCTGGTGAACATCAAAATAGCTGGTAAATGGATGTTCATCCCACTAAAAATGGTATTAATAGGTATTGACCCATACCCATATTTAGTTCAGGATTCCCCAGCTGTTTCATGACACCGGTGAAGGTCCCCCATGAGCCGATGCTATGAACAAACCGTGGCTCTGTGCAGGACCCTCGTGTACATTGAGATAGGCTCCAATGCCATGGCCAGTCCCATGTCCATACTCCATGCCGTCCTGCCATAAAGGTCTTCGCGCAAAGGCATCCAGGAGCCTTGGGGAAGACCGTTTCTGAAACAAAAATCACCGAAATTGGTCGAAATCCTTTCTCTTTGATTATTTTGATGATCCTCTTGTCGACCGTTTGGCGACTTCACTTCTTCATTACCCATGGTTTTCAGCAAAAATAGTGAACAAGCAGGTAAGACAATGAAATCCCATCCAAGATAACAATAAACAAACGCCCCGACTTCACCATGTTTGTCACTTTTTCACCATGTTTTTTTCCGCGTTTGTCCGTGGTTTCACCCATGGTTTTCCGAGCCGCAAGCCACAGGTGCCTTCCGGAAAGACGGCCGTCGCCAAGGCCAGGTGGCCCTGAAGAACCCGGCTGTAGAATCGCTTTTGCTCCTGGCCAGGTGAAGGATGGTTTAGGACTATGTATATATATATAGATAGATAGATATTTGGAAAAAAAACAGATCTATTTTGTCTATATATAGATGTCAGTTTTGTGGATAATGATTGGAGCTGTGAGCTGCGATGAAAACACGATTTAATCGTGAAACGTGGACAAAAATTGTGATTTCACTGTCAAACATTGGGATTCATGGTATTGACTAGGTCGATGGTGACCTGATGGGTTTAGATATATTTGTAGCAATTTGTAATCGACGTTTGGTGTGGCTTTTAACCCGGGGTTGTGGATTATCAATGTGGAAGTCACGCTAAAACCTGTGTAAAACCCAACATCAATTCGTCTCACGTCCTCAAATCAAGGGGGACGGCGGCAACATTTGGGGGAATATCCCCTGCAAATCCTTTTGAAAGTTGGGGTTACCCTCTGGTTATTTAACATAGCCATGGAAAATCACAATTTTTAATGGGAAAATTCACAAGAAATGGCCATGTTCCATTACTTGTTTCTTGAATGGAAAAAATCAGCGCGAGATGCAGATTCGCAAAATAATCCATGCCCATTTAGCACCGTGGTGCCGTGGGATTTTAAGGGTGGGTTTACCAGGGAAATTGAAGCAATTAATGGTGGCTGCTAGGGCTAGGGGAATGAACCAACAGATTTTTTTTGTGCGTTGCACAAGGAAACAACGATTTTTTTTCAGAAAACCAACAACAAACTTCACAGTGGAGATGTTGTTTCAGAACCACATTAGTATAGTATAGTATATATATATGTATATATAATATATCTATCCATAATCTTTATGTAATCATCCAAAAAGTGGAGATATGATACAACTGATTCGATGGATGTTTGGATGGACGCTTGCAGGCACTGGCAGGCATGATGTGCGAGATGGGAGACTGTCGGATTTGAGAATCGGATTCCATGGTAGTTGGACTAAATCCCTCCAGAACAGTTGCTGGTTGGTGGTTTTAACAATGGTTAATGATGGTTAATAGTGGATTATCTGGTGGATTTTTTATATTATATATATATGGTTGGTAGTTTTAGCCATCTTGCAAAAAATATGAAAGTCAATGGGCATGATTATCCCATATATGAAATGGAAAATAAAAATGGTTAAAACCACCAACCAGGTTGTGATGCTTGTCCCAAATCAGGGTCAGAAATATATTACGAGCCGTTAGGAACCATGAGCAATATTCCAAATCCCTTGAGTTAGACAGCTGTTATATCTGTTATGCATCTTCATATTACATTTTAGTAATCAAAGATGGAAATGAACATTCACCATGCATGATTTATCATGATTTTCCCATTAAAGGCCAAGTATATGTGTATATATATATGATACAATATACACATAGGCATTTAGAGTAGCACAAGTGCGATGGTTGACTGAACTGATCAGCTGCTCTGAGCAACGCAAATTTCCAACCTCTGTCGGTGTCCCAAAATGCACCGTGCGCGTGACATCGGTGGTGCCGTCTTGGTACTGCCCGCCGGTATCCTTGGGAGGTGGGCGCGGCGGCCTGTTTTCACTACCACCCAACGTTGCACCGCTCGGCCAGTTTTCGTGATATGATGGGTACTTGGCAATGCATCCGAAGTAAGTGATGAATTGAATAACTAGAAAAACCTGTGTTATAACCAGCATAACCATCATAGTCATCATCTATGAACAATCATCATAACCATCTATTACCAGCATCTATGGGCAATCTATGCAAACCTGGGGTACTTCCCATACTCAGTGACCTAGATTGCCATCCATTGCCATCGGGGTTTCAACGGGGAAACCCACAAGTCACCAAGCCGGTTTCAATACTGACATGTTCCAATGACTTGGATGAGAACTGGCGGTACCACCATGACTTAGGAAACCTCCATGAAAAACCTACAATGCGCCCCCCCCCAGTTATAAGTTGGTTTAGATTCGCCCCAGTAACTATAGTTATAAGCACCATAAACCATAGTTATTGGAGTTATGTGTACCAACTTAGCTATCGAACGGGGGCCTCACATTGTATAAATCCATATTAAAATCCCATGAAATCGGATTTACCCTCTGGTAATTTGTTACATAGCTATGGAAAATCACCTTTTTTAGTGGGAAAACTCACTATAAATGGCCATGTTCAATAGCTATGTTAAATTACCAGAGGGTAATCAGCAATTTCATCAGCATTTTTCTTGGCAAAATCCCTTGGCAAATCCCATCATGTTGATGGTAAACCGAAGCACAGGCACCATCCCCAGCATGGCAGATATCCCGGACCATGGGGATCAAAGTCCCCGACGGTCTGTTGCTTATGCGATATATCTAATCATATATATATATACGTATATACATACTATAATTAATATAATTTAAGCCAAGCTAATCTAATCCAATCTAATCTACATCATTCTGTATATATATATATATATCTGTTATATACATATTATCTATTATTTCTTTGGAATAAAAGGCCTTTTGTTTACACATCCAAAACGTCAACGACTTTGGAGTAAACTGGAGACTCCAAGTGGCTATTGGTCAAAACCCTGGCACCTAGTGAACCCCAAGTCATAGCTGGGATTTATGGATGTTCATCCCATTATTCCCATTAGAATTGATAATAATAGGTTTTGACCCACCCCCAAGTCTCAATGAGGATTATAAGTTATAACTGGTTATAAGTGGGATTATACGTTCTATAAATGGGATTTTGTTAGTACTTATAACTGGTATAACTCGGGCCATAACTGCAAGGTAACTGCAAGTCGACCCAAGTCTCAATGAGGTACATCTCGTCCTTGGACAACTTCTTGCAGCTCGCCTTTTCGGGTTTGTAGTGCACCACCGACGTGTTGGATCCCACTGATGAGATGGTGTCGAAACTATCACCTTCGGACGGAGAACGGTTCGGTGCTGGACCAAAAAAAAGGTGAAAAAATGGAGGTTTCAATGGGAAGTCCCCTAGAAAATATGGGAGATTCATGGGAAACTATGGAAAGATTATGGGAAAATATGGGAAGATTGTGGAAAAACATGGGAAATTCATGAAACATCCTCTCTAAATGATGGTTTATAGCTGGGAAAAAAGATGGGTACCCTGCGGTCATAGGGATATTAATGGGATATGACCACTAACCAACTCCAGTATTGGACTAATAGCTATTACCGGAGCATAATTATCGGAAAAGTATTGAATTTCATTGGATTGCTGCAGAGATATAACTGGGGATACATCCGGTAATTTGTTACCGTGTGCGAACTGGAAGCCATGGCCCATTTAGTTCAATGATTTACCGAAATCAAACATTGTGATTCTCCACAGTTAATTGTACTAAACTACTACGTCAAGTTGTGTGTATATATATATATACATGCAGGGTACGCAGTGAAGGAAGGCAAAAAGCATGCAGGCCCACAGCCCCAAAAATGGGTCCGCGTCGCAGCGCAAGCCAAAGGAACGTTTCAAAAGGGGCAGGGGTGCCAGTGCTGTTCTGCAGCAAACATGACTGCCACAAGCAATGCCAATACATGCGTACCGCCAGCGGCAGTATACAGGACCCTGGGCGCAACCCCCGGCACCCCCAGATATCAAAGTTGACTTACTTCCGCACTCTGCAAAGCTACACCAGGAAAGGCAGCAAGACTAGCTTTTGCGAGTGGCAACGTTGATTCCTGGGGAGCGGGGCCATTTTTGCGCGTGCAGATCCACATACATCACGCGGAAGCAGCGTTAAATTAGCAATTCGTATTGGCTTGGCCGCAAAACTACTAAGCATGTGCTCAAAAGCTACTAAGCACGGTGTCACATTTCGCATTGGCTTGGCCGCAAAGCTACTAAGAATGCGTTCAAAAGCTACTAAGGACGATTTGGCAATTCGTATTGGCTCGGCCGCAAAACTACTAAGAAAATGCTTCAAAGAATAAAAGAAACAGTATCTTCTTCTCTTCTTGAATTTTGAGAGACATTCTTAGTAGTTTTGCGTCCATGCCATTGTGATTTGAAACTCACGCCTTCGTAGTTTTTCATGAACTCCTTAGTAGTTTTGCGTCCAAGCCATTGTGATTTGCAACTCACGCCTTAGTAGTTTTTCATGAACTCCTTAATAGTTTTCCGTCCAAGCCAATGTGATTCGCAACTGGTGCTTTACTAGTTTTTCGCGATATGCTTAGTAGTTTCACGTCCAAGCCATTGCGATTTGTACGTCATGCCTTAGTAGGCCTTTTATTAAGGCTTTGGGGGCGCTTCTTCTCAAAGCCTAGGTGGGCCCAAGGCCCCAAAACCGGAGCCTCAAATAAGTGGTAAAGCAAGCGCCTCGGGCATGTACCCTCGGAGTATCACGGATATGTGCTGCTGTCAGCTTGCGTCGGCTGTAGCACACTTGCTGCCCGCATTGACTAGCTCCTGTTTGTGTTTTGTGGCCCTAAAACAGGGGCCAGATTCTGGACCCAAAAATGGGGCCACAATACTCAAATTAGCAGCCGAGCTTCCAAATGTGTGGTCCCAATTTTGGGCCCATGGTGTATGCGTTTTGCCTTCTGCAAAGAGTGCGTTGAGCTGCGACAGGTTGCATCTTCCATTCATGTTTTCTTGCGCTTGCTGCCAGGATGCTGGTTTCACATGCAGGGTACGCAGTGAAGGAAGGCAAAAAGCATGCAGGCCCACAGCCCCAAAAATGGGTCCGCGTCGCAGCGCAAGCCAAAGGAACGTTTCAAAAGGGGCAGGGGTGCCAGTGCTGTTCTGCAGCAAACATGACTGCCACAAGCAATGCCAATACATGCGTACCGCCAGCGGCAGTATACAGGACCCTGGGCGCAACCCCCGGCACCCCCAGATATCAAAGTTGACTTACTTCCGCACTCTGCAAAGCTACACCAGGAAAGGCAGCAAGACTAGCTTTTGCGAGTGGCAACGTTGATTCCTGGGGAGCGGGGCCATGTTTGCGCGTGCACATCCACATACATCACGCGGAAGCAGCGTTAAATTAGCAATTCGTATTGGCTTGGCCGCAAAACTACTAAGCATGTGCTCAAAAGCTACTAAGCACGGTGTCGCATTTCGTATTGGCTTGGCCGCAAAGCTACTAAGAATGCGTTCAAAAGCTACTAAGGACGATTTTGCAATTCGTATTGGCTCGGCCGCAAAACTACTAAGAAAATGCTTCAAAGAATAAAAGAAACAGTATCTTCTTCTTTTCTTGAATTTTGAGAGACATTCTTAGTAGTTTTGCGCCCAAGCCATTGTGATTTGCAACTCACGCCTTAGTAGTTTTTCATGAACTCCTTAGTAGTTTTGCGCCCAAGCCATTGTGATTTGCAACTCACGCCTTAGTAGTTTTTCATGAACTCCTTAGTAGTTTTGCGTCCAAGCCATTGTGATTCGCAACTGGTGCTTTACTAGTTTTTCGCGATATGCTTAGTAGTTTCACGTCCAAGCCATTGCGATTTGTACCTCATGCTTTAGTAGGCCTTTTATTAAGGCTTTGGGGGCGCTTCTTCTCAAAGCCTAGGTGGGCCCAAGGCCCCAAAACCGGAGCCTCAAATAAGTGGTAAAGCAAGCGCCTCGGGCATGTACCCTCGGAGTATATATGATATTATATGATTATATGTGTGTAATCATGACAAACAATAATATGGTTAAACAATAAACCATAGGAAAAACAAGTAAAATACAAGAAAAATGTTTCTTAAATACCACATATTTCATATATTCCCTCATTTTCAAGGGTATATCTTTAATATTCCCTGGTTCCCAGGGCATAATTTTTATGTAGCCCTGGCTTCCAGGGGTGTATTGTTGTACTTTCTGGCTGGATACAAGATGGTTTTATTTTTGACACACCCAGGGCACTGCAAATTCCCACAGGGAGGGAGGGAGGGAGGGGGGGCAGGGCATGCAATTAATCTGCCAGAGATGGACCTGCCCAATGACAGATCATGAGCTCAATGGCAATCCATTGATGGACAATCAGGCATTGCTACTGAATTTTTATTGGTTGGATCTGGGTATTTCTTATGAGTATATAAATATCAAATAATATATATACACATATATATATATATTATATAATTCAAATAATTATGTCTGCCATAAAGTTCACTTTATTACACTCCCTCAATTCCAGGGTGACTAGCAATCCCACCCAGAAAGGGGCACTCGTCCAACGCAGGTGTCAAGACCTCAGTGGCTAAATTGGGTAACCAGTGGGTGTTTTGCCATGCCTTCCCTTTGAATCATTTTTTCAACAACTGACTGGTTTCTTTATGTTTTGAAAAGTAACATAAAATTGAAACGCACTTTCTAGATCCAGACATGTCAGAAACACCATGAAAACTAGTCAGTCTTGTAACTTATTATTGCAAAGTGATTAGATATTCATGCACTAGATTGCAACCCAGGAAAAAAAACAATAATTATATACAGTACCTGCTAGGATTGATTTTGCCCCTGGCTTCTACTGTTCCAACCATATAAAACAATCTGAACGTGTTCATTGCCTAGATTTGGCCCATGATGTACATATGTATATATATATATATATATGATATATTTGTTCGAATATGAATGCATTGTGCATTTCTTGTACACTCCCTGGGTTCCAGGGTGATCCGCATTCCTGCCCAGAAGGGACATCCATCCAAAGCAGGTGTCAAGACCTTAGTGGCTAAATCGGTCGATCAGTGTTGGAACAGTGGATTTGCAATGTTTATTTTGTCATGTCTTCCTTTTTGACTCCTTTTTTCACACTTTCAGTTTGTTTTCCACATATTTTCAAAGGTGAGTTGGTGTTCAATTTTAACAGCTGCTCAGTCATGTCATGACGTTAAACTTGTAGCTCAGGGGTATTCAGTGAATCTAATTTATTATTATGCTGAATGCTTTAGGATTTCAATGAGATTAAATGTAACTAATTGCAATGACAATAAATCAATCAACTTGTCCCTGGATTCAGGACACAGGTGTTTCATGAACAAGATCTTCCAGGTTGGACTGCCAAATAGGCAGGGTCGGGTGCCAAACAGGCACAGTCCGGAGCCCATAGCAGCCCTGGTTTCCAGGGAATAATTAATAAACCGCCCTGGTTTCCAGGGAATAATAAATAAACCGCCCTGGCTTCCAGGGAATAATTAATAAACCGCCCTGGTTTCCAGGGAATAATTAATAAACTGCCCTGGCTTCCAGGGAATTTAAAATAAACTGCCCTGGTTTCCAGGGAATAATTAATTATCAATAAACAGCCCTGGTTTCCAGGGAATAATTAATTATTAATAAACCGCCCTGGTTTCCAGGGAATAATATATAAACTGTCCTTATTTCTACAAATTATTAATAAACCGCCCTGGTTTCCAGGGAGTAATAGGGGTTATTTTACTTGTTCATTAGCCATTGAATTCCATTCCAGGGCTTGTTGGTTTCCAAGGCATTTTATATGCTAATTGACCACATCACCAGGGTATAGAATATAACAAGGAGTGCCCTAAATGGGGGCACAAGGGAGTTTCCTTTGGTGTGGAACCTCAGCATCAGGTTTGGTCGGTGCAACCAGGTGGACATGAGATCCTGGCTTCTAGGTATGTAGCAAAATATGTGTTGGCCTCTGAGGATGACAACTAAAAAATACCAATGCATTTCTATACTATACAGGTATGTATATATATATATATATATGTACATGTATCTATACTAGACAGGCACAGTCCAGAGCCCATAGCAGCCCTGGCTTCCAGGGGCCCTGGCTTCCAGGGAATAATTAATAAACAGCCCTGGCTTCCAGGGAATGATAAAGTTCACTTTATTACACTCCCTCAATTCCAGGGTGATCAAAAATCCCACACAGAAAGGGGCACTCATCCAACGCAGGTGTCAAGACCTCAGTGGCTAAATTGGGTAA